CCTGGGCAACATCCTTGCAGATGGCCAATTCCCTCACACCATAATAATAATAATAATAGTAATAATAATAATACTATTAATAATAGTAAAAGTAGTAATAATAGTAAACAGTAATAGTAATAGTAATAATAGTAAATAGTAATAATAATAGTAATAATAGTAGTAATAGTAGTAATAATAGTAAAAGAAAAAAGTCTGGATTATTGATGTCGCCAATAGTAAAAGAAAAAATTTAAATTTAGTAATTTAGTGCAATCTGGTAATGGAATATAGGAATGGAACAATGGACGACGAACCTGGACTACGCTTAGATGATGAGAAGGTTGGGTACAGTTGTTTTTCATAATAATTGTGCATTGTAATTGCTTATTGGTAATTTATGGATAATGTGTTAAGTCAATTGTTATATGTTGTATGGAACCACTGCTGTTTCTACTGTTTTTACTGTTTGTGAACCGCTGTGAGTCGCCTTCGGGCTTGAGATACAGCGGTATATAAGCAATTTTTTCTTTTACTATTGGCGACATCAATAATCCAGACTTTTTTCTTTTAAATAAATAAATAAAAAAGTCTGGATTATTGATGTCGCCATTCCAGGTGACAGTCGCATTGAGGAAAAACAACAGGAAAAACTCAGCCGCTATCAAGACCTCAAAATTGAACTGCAAAGGCTCTGGCATAAACCAGTACAGGTGGTCCCAGTGGTCATCGGCGCACTGGGTGCCGTGCCAAAAAATCTCAGCCGGCATTTGGAAACAATAAACATCTACAAAATCACGATCTGTCAACTGCAAAAGGCCACCTTACTTGGATCTGTGCCCATCATTCGAAAATACATCACACAGTCCTAGACGCTTGGGAAGTGTTTGACTTGTGATTTTGTGATATGAAAAATTGAAGAAAAAAAATAAATACACTTATTTTCTCTACACTGTACATCTGCACTGTAGAATGAATGCAGACTGATACCACTTGAACTGCCATGTCTCAATGCTGTGGAATCCTGGGCTGTCCCTCTGACAGACAAAGGTGAAAATTTTGTAAAACTCCAAATCCCATCACTCTATAGCATTGAGCCACAGCAGTTCAAGTGGTATCATTACCTGCAGTTTTGATATACTCTTAAGTTTCCCAACGTCCTTTTTTTTTTTTAAGTTCCTGACAATTGACTTTATCACTTGAGTTGTTCCTGGAAAAGGTCTGGTTTTCTTTAAACTTTGAACAGAATAAGGAGTGGCTAGTGAAGAGCGATCTCTTCCAGATCAGCTGGCAGTCAAAAGAGAAAGCCAAACAATGGGTCACTGCAGAAAGGAAATAAATAACAATTCCACAAGACAAATCCAAAAGCATATAGGCACACTTGCTTGAACGGGGTGACCTTAATCCCCAAACATCAGAGACAGACAAGGGGCTGTGAAAAAAAGGCTATGGATTCTAGGAACAGAGAAGTACAGGAAACTGTTGTAAAAAATGAGCTGGGTTTCAACTTATAGACCAGGGGCCCTCAAACTAAGGCCTGAGGGCCGAATACGGCCCTCCAAGGTCATTATCTGGCCCTCGCTCAGGGTTGACCTAAGTCTGAAACAACTAGAAAGCACACAACAACAACAATCCCGTCTCATCAGCCAAAAGCAGGCCCACACTTCCCACTGAGATACTAATAAGTTTATATTTGTTTAAATTGTTCTTCATTTTAATCATTGTATTGTTTTAAAGTGTTTTTTGCACGACAAATAAGATATGTGCAGTGTTCATAGGAATTCATTCATGTTTTTTTTTTTCCAAATTATAATCCGGCCCTCCAACAGTTTGAGGGATTGTGACCTGGCCCTCTGTATAAAAAGTTTGAGGACCCCTGTTATAGACAAACTGGGTTGTTGTAGGTTTTTTCGGGCTATATGGCCATGTTCTAGAGCAGTGGTTCTCAACCTTCCTAATTCCGCGACCCCTTGATACCGTTCCTCATGTTGTGGTGACCCCCAACCCTAAAATTGTTTTCGTTGCTACTTCATAACTGGAATTTTGCTGCTGTTATGAATCGACATGTATATATCTGATAGGCAGGATGTATTTTCATTCTCTGGACCTTGGGAGTTGTAGTTGCTGGGATTTATAGTTCACCTACAATCAATCCATCTCTGAATTCCACCAGAGATGGAATTGACCCAAACTTGGCACACAGAACACCCATGACTAGCAAAAAATAATGAAAGGGATAGGTAATCATTGGCTTTGAGCCTGGGAGTTGTAGTTCACCTATATCCAGAAAGCACTGTGGACTCAAACAATGATTGATCTAGACTAAACTTGGCACAAATGCTCAATATGCTCAAATATGAACACTGGTCGAGTTTGGGGAAAATAGACCTTGACATTGGGAAGTTGTAGTTGCTGGGATTTATAGTTCACCTACAATCAGAGAGCATTCTGAACTCCACCAACAATAGAATTGGGTCAGACTTCCCACACAGAACTTCCATGACTAGCAGAAAATACTGTGTATCCTGATGGTCTTTGGCGACCCCTCCGACACCCCCTCGTGACCCCCCCCCCCCGGGGTCCCGACCCCCAGGTTGAGAAACACTGTTCTAGAGGCATTTCTCCTGACGTAGACAAACTGATAACAAACGGCAGGACAAACGTTATGGAAAACGCAGAAGATTGCGAAGGGGTCACCAAGTCTAAAGTCCTTCAAGGATTGCTCTGCAGACAGAATGGAAAGTGAAACTGGGGGAATCCAGACATCATTATTAACTCCAAGGCTGCTCAAATACAGAAAGTAGATTGCATTCATTTAACTCAGCAGAAAGAGGGGAGTGGAAGGATCCCAGTTGGCTCGGGCAAAGGCAACCTGCTGGATTTTTTTCCTAGCACGTTTATTCTTCCTAATGTATTTTATTTTCTAATACACTGGTTTTCCTGATCTTGAAAAATAGGCAATAATAATAATAATAATAATAATAATAATAACAACACTTTATTTGTACCCCGCTACCATCTCCCCAAGGGACTCGGTGCGGCTTACATGAGGCCGAGCCCAAACACAACAATACAAGCAATAATAACAACAATACAAGCAATTAAAATTAAAAAATAGACAATAAAATATACAACATTATCAATAAGACATCACACAATTAAAAATAGTGAAAAGGCCAAATGTAGAGTTAAAATTGGAAGTAATGCTGGGACATGGACGAAAAGGTGATAGTGGTGTTTGTGGAAGGGCATACGAGCAGACCTGAAGAAATGTAAAGTGCTTTAGAGGACAAAGTGCTATGGGATCATTATTCCGGGAAGGCACACTGGAACAGCCACGTCTTCAAGCTCCTTCTGAAGACTGCCAGAGTTGGGGCCTGTCTGATGTCTTTAGGGAGTAAGTTCCAGAGTCGAGGGGCCACCACCGAAAAGGCCCTCTCTCTCGTCCCCACCAAGCGCGCCTGCGATGCTGGTGGGATCGAGAGCAGGGCCTCTCCGGATGATCGAAGGGATCGTGTGGGACCTCAAACTTTTTAAACAGAGGGCCAGGTCACAGTCCCTCAAACTGTTGGAGGGCTGGATTATAATTTGCAAAAAACGCAAATGAATTCCTATACATTCCACATATCTTATTTGTAGTGCAAAAAACCCCACTTTAAAATAATGCAATAATTAAAATGAAGAACAATTTTAACAAACATAAACTTAATAGTATTTCAATGGGAAGTGTGGGCCTGCTTTTGGCTGATGAGATAGGATTGTTGTTGTGTGCTTTCAACTAGTTTCAGACTTAGGTTGACCCTGAGCCGGGTAAATGACCTTGGAGGGTCGTATCTGGCCCCCGGGCCTTAGTTTGAGGACCCCTGTCTTAGAATCATGGGTGCTTTTTATTATGTACACGGTGAGGCATCATAACTTCTTCTTTTTTAAATGCGCGCCATTCAGTTGGTTGAAGACGTAGCGGAGCGCTAGTGGTCTCGTTCGAGAGGCGGGAGTATAAAGTTTTGTCCTGACAGTTCAGTCGCCATCATGCGTTGGAACAGTGAGGAGCGTGCTTTTGCCGTTGAGGCCTACTTTTCAAGCGGATTTGGAGTGGCTGGCCCGCTCTCCAGATTTAGCCCCTTGTGATTTTTTTCTATGGGTTTTTTTGAAATCCCGTGTTTATGTGAACTGTCCTACAAGATCTGAAGAGCAACACCCAGGAGGAAATTGCCAACATAACACCTGCTATGCTGGCAAGAGTCATGACAAACGCCAGAAATCACTTTACTCAGTGTATGGGGAATGGGGGACGTCACCTACCTAATCTGATCTTCAAAACTATGTAAAACAAAACATTAGGTATGCACCTACATTATAAAAAAATCTGATTCATACAATGGGTTTTATTATTTGATTGTTGGTGAATTATAAATCCCAGCAACTACAACTCCCAAAAGACAAAATCATTTTTTTGAGTGAAGGACATACAGTGGGTTGTTAGATGTATGCTGTCCAAATTTGGTGTCAATTCGTCCAGTGGTTTATGAGTTATGTAAATCCCACAAACGAACATTACATTTTTATTTATGTAGATTACATTTATTATTCTATTATTACTGTTCTTATTACATTTCCATTATTTTACTCTATTATTATTGTTATTATTACATTTATTATTTTACTCTATTATCATTGAAAGGATACGTAAGCACATTTACATTGAAGAAGTTTAGAATAATGGTTTAATCAGAGTTGGGCGGTCTTATCTTATGTAAATATTCAAAAACATTTAACCCACGGATGCCTCAATTAATGTAATTGTATTGGTATCTATTTTTATTTTGAAATTTACCAATAGCTGCTGCATTTCCCACCCTCAGTGTATACTCAAGTTAATATGTTTTCCTAGTTTTTTTTGTGTGTGTGGTAAAATTAGGTGCCCCGGCTTATATTTGGGTCGGCTTATACTCAGGTATATACGGTATTTCATATTCTCCCTTTGTGATTGCCTGCATTAAGCCACGACCTCTCTTTTTCAGGTGCGGAGGAGGACTTTATAAACATTTTGCCACAAAACCCAGTGGTGGAATTTAATGGCTTTGTTGTACTGAACTGTAGTTCCAGCTGTAAGAACATTAATCTTGAGACATCTTTAAAGTGGGTTGAGGCTGGAACTGGGACCAACTGGAAAGCTTTCAACCTCACCAAAGTTGACCAGTGGACTGCCACCCCGTTGTGCTTGGCTCGCTGTGACGCAGGAAGAAAGGTTCTCCGTGCCAACTTCACAGTTTACCGTAAGTTGCGTATCAGACGGTATCACCATAACCATTCAAGGAAGGCTGACATTGCAGGATGCTGCTCATCTCTAAGGAAAGGGAGAGTATGCTTCATGAAAGTGCGAATTCCACAGGTGGGGGGCCACCACCGAGAAGGCCCTGTCCCTCGTCCCCGCCAACCGTGTTTGTGACAGGGGCGGGGCCAAAAGCAGGGCCTCTCCAGAAGATCTTAAACTTCTAGGTGGGATGTAGAAGGAGATACGTTCGGACAGGCATCTTCAGGTCAACTTTGATTTTTCACAACCCTCTGATGGAGTTTCTTTGCAAAGATTTGTTAGAGGGGTTTTTCCATTGCCAATTCTTAGGACCAATTTACAGGCCATCTCAACATGGGGCTGGTTTGAAGTGTTGCTTCCATGGAGGTATCTAAATGCTCTGCTGGCAGGTATGGAGTCCAGGCCACAGTCAGGCTGAACTGTCCAGCTGTCCACATGGGGCAGCAGGGTACTGGCCCATATGGACAGTTGGACCAACTTCCTACAGCAACCCTGAAGTATAGACCTCTTCCAGAGCTTTGTTGAAACTTTGGAGCATTCCCCAATTTTTGTTAATGTGGGGTAAAATTGGGTGAAGCAGTTTTACCCCATGCCAAGGTCTGAAAGTCCCTGAAAGTCATGGATGTCCAGGAACAACTTCTGCCTCAATTCAGGGTTTCTAACCTCTGGATGTTCAGGAGCAACTGCTGGTGCAATTCATATGGATGTCCAGCAGCAACTTCTTCTGGCCTGTGTAGATGCTCCCTCTGTCTGAGAATGTGATTTGTCCATGGCTACCCAGTTGATTTCCACAGCTGAGCACATTGTCCAGTCCTGGCCTCCTAGGACCCTTCTAGGCAAACCCTATGTCCCAAGATCTGATCCCAGGTTTTCTGTTTATTCCAGATTATTTGGCTGTGGGGACTCATATAATCCAGTTTAAAGCAGAAATCCTGGGATCAGATCCTGGGATATAGGGCCTGTCTGGAAGGGGCCCTAGACTCCTAGTCCAAAACTAAAACGATTACCCACAGTGGCTCTGTAAACTATTGCAAATTTGTTGCAGAAGGAGCAGGGAAACTGACACTGGGGTTAGGAGCTGGTTCAAGACAGCAGAAAACTCATTGTTACAGTCCGGACATGGCATTCACCGTCTCTAGAATGCATAATAATGCTTACTTCCAGGGTATGAAATACTTGGGTAAAAATTCACCATACTTTCATTCCAGGAGCTCCAGAGCATGTAGTTCTGAACCCAGTGCCAAAGATGGAGATTGGAAAGAAGCACACGTTGATATGCCATGTTCATCGTGTGGCCCCACTCAAGAACCTCACGGTGACCCTGTTCAAAGGAGGGAAAAAAATCCTGGTGAAGACATTTGAGAGTTCGACTGCCACTGAAGACGAAAATGTTACGGTGTCCCATAACATCACTGTGCAGAAGGAAGACCACGGGGAGGAAATCACCTGCCAGGCTGCTCTGGATCTGAGACCAGACGGACCACTCTTTGAACAGGCCTCTCACACTGAATCACTGAACCCTGTTGGTGAGTTTACACCCATGGGCAGGGTCATGTATGGAAAACTGCATGAATAGAGAAGGCTTGGGCTGCAGCACTATATAACTCTCATTGAGCCCAGAAGTTCTGATCTTTGGGTACTTCTTTACAAAGAGTAGGTCCTGTTTTTCTTCCCTGGTAGGAGTACAGCCATCCCTTCACATTTGCTAGGGTTAGGGGTGCAAATCACCCATGAAAGGGAAGAACCACAAAAAGAAAAACACTATTTTTTAAACTGAGGCACAGTTGAATAAAATCCCACATTTTCTGATTTGAACCAGGATATATGGCAGTGTGGACACAGATAACCCAGTTTAAAGCAGATATTGTGGGATTTTCTGCCTTGATGTTCTGGGTTATATGGCGCTGTGGAAGGGCCCTGAGTCCACACTGCCATATAACCCAGTTCAGAGCAAATTGTTATGGATTCCTCATCTTCAGAAGAGGAAGGGGAGCAGGGAAGTGCTCAGGAATTGGAGGGGGAAGAGGAATCAGGCGATGAGGTTTTGCAAGTGCCCACATTTCTGGAAAGGCGAAAGGAAACAGAGCACAGATGGCATTCAGCTAGAATAGCTGCTAGAAACACCGAGGTAATTGGGAGCCACCCTAGCATCTCCTGTGCGGGGAATTCAGGGCAGGCGCAGTTAGCTTTCGCTAGTAACAACAACCCTGATGCTTATGTCTTCGCTCCAATTGTACCTGCTTCGAGTCTGCTTCTAAGGATTTAGTCATCTTTCCCCATTATCTGATGTAAGACTGCTGTTTATTATCAGAGACTTGAGTTTTGTGTCTGCATTAAGACTTCCTTGCTTTCTTTTGCATTTTTCAACTGCATGTGCTGTTCTTTTGTGTTTGCTGAAGTAAAGCATTTTTCATTTATGTTCAACGTGGTATTAAGGCTGTTCTTGAAAGGCAAATCAGGACACAAATATTGTGGGATTTTCTGCCTTGATTTTCTGGGTTATATGGCTGTGTGGAAGGGCCATGAGAGAACACTTCTCTAGGAATCTCTAGGTCAGTGGTTCTCAACCTTCCTAATGCTGCGACCCCTTAATACAGTTTCTTATGTTCTGGTGACCCCCAACCGCAACATTATTTTTGTTGCTACTTCATAACTGTAATTTCACCACTGTTATGAATCGTAATGTAAATATCTGATATGCAGGGTGGATTTTCATTCACTGGACCAAATTTGGCAAAAATACCCGATATGCACAGATTTGAATACTGGTGGGGTTGGGGGAGATTGATGTTGTCATTTGGGTGTTGTAGTTTCTGGGATTTATAGTTCGCCTACAATCAAAGAGCATTCTGAACTCCACCAATGAAGCAATTGAATCAGAGCTGGCCACACAGAACTCCCATGATGACAGAAAATGCTATAACGGCTTGGTGGACATCGACCTTGAGTTTGGGAGTTGTAGTTCACCTACATCCAGAGAGCACTGTGAACACAAACAATGATGGATCTGGACCAAACTTGGCACGAACACTCAATATGTGCAAATGTGAACTCTGGTGGAATTTGGGGAAAATAAACTTTGACATTTGGGAGTTGTAGTTGCTGGGATTTATAGTTCACCTAAAATCAAAGTGCATTCTGAACCCCACCAATGATAGAATTGGGCCAAACTTCCTACACAGAACCCCCATGACCTTCAGAAAATATTGTATATTCTGACGGTCTTTCGGGACCCCTCTGACACCCCCTCGTGACCCCCCCAGGGGTCCCGACCCCCAGGTTGAGAAACACTGCTCTAGGTCTTCTAGCATTACGCTATGGCCAACGTTTGCTGATCACACTAGAGAGACTGGAGATTCCTAGTGAGAATATTTTAATCAAAATAATAAATAATCCCCTTCCCAACAATCAAACCCACAAATGTGTAGGACCAATTGCATTAATTTTATTCGTCACATTTGCATTTTCACATTCTTTCACTTGAGTCAAGGTTATATACATGATTATATACATGGCTCTCCTCTTGCCTACATCATCTCCACAGCACCCAGAGGGTACTTAATTACATACTTAGGCGATCCCTCGTTGGCCGAGTAGGATAGTCTTCCAGGATCAGTGTTCTGATGGGTCCCTAGGTGACTGTGGAGCCCTATTCTTGATCTGCATCTTCTTGCGCAGTGAGGGCATTGGTTTCCAGGTGGAAGGCGGTCTCAGTCGGGGTCGGCTTGACGCGCCTTCTTCATGGCACGTTTCTCTCTTTCACCCTCCATTCGTGCCTCTTCAAATTCTGCAGCACTGTTGGTCACAGCTGACCTCCAGTTAGAGCGCTCAAGGGCCAGGGCTTCCCAGTTCTCAGTGTCTATGCCAGAGTTTTTAAGGTTGGCTTTGAGCCCATCTTTAAATCCCTTTTCCTGCCCACCAACATTCTGTTTTCCAGAGGGTGCTATATCCAGCATTTAACACTGAAATGTGTGGCTTAATGGTCACCCAAAAATTGAATTTCATTAGCCACTGCTACAGTCAACAGTTAATAAAACACAATCTCTGATTTGTAATTGAAGGGGGCTCCTGTACTGATAACAAAATGTGTTATTAGTTCACTTCCACATAGTTTACATATTTTTAATTGTAATTTAAACCAGAGGAGATAGTGACTGACCGCCATTGTTATTTCATAGTTTCCTGTTTGGAGGGTGGGGATTCATCTCCTTAGGTTTACTTTTTTAGCAAAAAAATGTTTCACATATTAAAATCTCAGGGTTCTTCCATTTCCTCATCTCTGTTTCTCACTGCTATTGTTTTGGCTTGCTTTCTATCATCATTAGCAGTCAGAAACTGAGTTTGGTATGAAGAATCAGTCATCTTTATTGTGGAGTTTTAAACATAATTAACACGCTTACTTTTGTTATCTTGGCAGATTTCCCCATGGATCCCCATCTCACAACCCCATCAATTGTAGAGACCGATACTGAGATAACAGTGACCTGTGATGTATCTGGAGTTTTCCCAGCCAAAGAGGCCAAGTTTGAGCTATCCTATGGAGGAAAGAGTCTG